TTGAATTTCCCTGATTTAACGACGCACATCGTGTGCCAGAGTTGCACGCATCGAATGCGAGCGTGTTTGTATGTCTCTATGCGTGTAGCAACTGGTTAAAATTGGAATGTAGAATGAGATTGTGAAATTTATAACTTAAAACTAGAATATAGAACATTCGTTAAAAGAAACCACGAAATATACACAAATATATGCATACATGTATTGTGTACTTCCTTCAATAGTGTTGGAAGATCGCATACATAAAAAGATCTTATAGACTACTACTACACAGACAGAATTGCAGGCGAGGTTAAATGAATAAAAATGACCGCATGTTAATTTTATACAAGATCAAGTAAACTCGTATAAAATTTTCCATTTCAAGGCCATTCTATCAAAAAGAATATTTATAAAAAATATATGCAATTTGGTTTGAAATTTTTAATAAATATTTCATAAATCTAATAATTTCTAAAAATATAAAGAAATTATATTGTTATATAATTTTTTGAAATCCTATCTATGAGGCACATATTCCATAATTATAGATATATATATAAATCTTTCAAAAAAAAATTTTATTATAATAAAAAAGAACAAAATCTTTAAGTATGCAATTTAAACCTTACGGCATTTCTTATTTAAATTTATTGAAATTGATATCTAAAATAAAAAAATAAAGAAGATCAAAAACATACCATCAATCTGAACGGTAAAAATATTTTTGCATCAATAACACAATAGGTATTGTCGAGTTCATGGTTAGAGTACAGATTCCGCAATAATTACGTCCATGCGACACAATACCATGAACTACACGCAATACAGACATACATATGAGATATGGGAAACCTGTTTTGACCGCCGTGGCGCTTGTGTCGCAATAAATTTCCGGCATGTTTACTCGGAAAAAGAATTTCATCAACTTCTCACGAAAAGTCAACAAGATTCTTTTGTTGCATAGCTTCTTAGTATTTTATTTTTTGTATAATTCTGTGTAATGTAAACAAACTCATGTTCTTGGAACAATTAAATAAAAGAATCGATGTATAAATAAGAGTGTCAGTGATAGTTGTTTCTCGCGGTCGACTTGTTTTTTTTTGTTCTCATTTTTTTTCATTATTACTTGTATCCATTTCTTGAACATCGTTTTCACAAACACAATATATACGATATGTTCATCCCGTTTCATTCTAGCCCTTTTATTTGATACATTTTAGTGTTGTTACATTACATAAGACATGTTTCCCACTTGAAAATTTTTTATTATCAATCGCGTTCAAAAATAATATTTATCATATTTATGTAATTACAATTTATTTATGTAATTTACGTAGTTTTTAATTTATTGTTCACATTATATATAGATTATTACTTATAGGAAAGTTTTAGAAGAGACTTGTCTGAACATGAATGAACATAGGATTTTCTACTTAAGGTTTCATCATTGTAGATGAAGTCACTTGACATTCATGACGATTTGGATCTAAATTTTCACAATATATTCTTATTATAATTTTTTTTTAAATTAAATCTTAGGAAATCTTAGAAATTTTAATATCTCGTTCAAAGGATAATATATATGAATATATATAAAAGATTTTGTGAAAAATTTAAATATTGTTGTTATATAAATTAAAATGTGTAACTTCCACTGTTGTCATGAATTGTCATCGTTTTTTTATCACTGCTCATTGTAATTATAATGACAATAAAAATCATATGCTGTGCTGCATCTTTTTCATCATTTCATTTCATTCCATCACCTCTCAAAAATATCATTTCCCAAAATGTTATTTTCATTAATTATTCCAGAATTGATAGAAATTTTTTTTTAAATTATTTTTCTTTTTTTTCTTTTTTAAAATTAAAAACGAATCTTATTCGTAAAATATATTTCATATGCTGTCTCAAAATGCAGTTATATATAAACACATACATGTACAAAATACATGTATAATTATCATATTTAAATTTTCACTAGTACTCTTAATGTTTGTTGCACGGTGTTAAAAATGTATCTAAAAAGTAAAAATGTAAAACATTTAAAGAAACGTAACATTTTTTTTCATTGCAATTAATATTTATATATATTATATATTTGATGATTTAGTCATATTCTTAAAAAAAGAACTTAAAATAATATATTATAAAAATTGATATAAATTGATATCTTGCTCAATAAAATTGAATACTTGTTGAAAAATAATAATTTGTGAATGATTATTGAAAAATATATTCCATTGTCAATGTCACTTTGAGAATATATAAGTTAGCCAATATCTGAGAAGTTTAATATAGAGATGGACTTAATTGAATGAGTAGTGACGAGAAGAGGGAGAGAACAAATAGGTGGGGGCAAAACTCAGAATACTTTGGTTAAAAATAATCAGCTCTTACTGTGGATGGTCAGAAATTTGGGAGCAAGGTCAATCGATAGCAGCGCAACTTCCTAAACATGTGTGTAAATATGCTTCCTCTTGTTTAAATATTTACAAATCACTTGCGGATATATATCACTTTTTTAAGATAAAACGTAATAATCTATTTATTATTGTGTATTGGTAAATTATCATTTTATTATGTTTTTCTATTTTCTTGTATAATTAATAATAATTTTGAAAAAAGGTTTTTAAATAATCACATTTTTATATACATTTTTCAAAATATCAAAAAAGTATTATCATAATAATAATTAAAATTGAATTTGCATATAAAAATCGAATTTATTGTTATTGGAAAATTCTTAATCAAAAATATATGAACATGAGATTTCATTCCAATGGAAAAAAGTCTTTATTTAAAATAATTAAAATATATTAAAAAATTTAAAACCTATAAGATGAATAAAATGATGACTAAATAATATTGTTAAGGTTAGGATTTGTTACGTCTCTTTTATTGTTTTACATTATAAAATTATATATTCAATTGATGTATTTTTTTGTCACTTTTCATTATTATCTACATCATTTATCTCGTTATAATCATTAAAATATTTAAAGACGTATTAGCAGATGCTTAGTTTATAATAGATATATATGTATATATATATCTAGCACCAGAAAGAAGCTGTATTTCTATTCATCGAATTCACCGTGGAGCAGCATGTGGAGAGAATGCTTGACGAAAGGGATGGATTCCTTGGAAGAATTTTTTTTGCGATTGGCATGTTGGCAGTGTTGTTAGCTGGTTGTGTGGCTACATTGTATATACGACCGCTATCGGCACTGCAATTATGACGATCGTAGGGTCCGCGTCCATAATCGAAAAGGTTTTTAAATATCGATCATCGAATAATGGAAACGCAAATAAATCAATACTTTGTAATTATTAAATTAATGTATAAAATTTTGAGAGTTAATTATTTTATTTTATTTTATTTTAAATAATTTTTAAAATTTATCTTGAATTACTTATTACACGAAATATATATATCCCCCCCCCCCGAAATTACAGTATTCTCTCGGTGATTAGGAAATTAAAATCAGATAAAAATTTAGTATTTTAAATAAATATATCCATATTGTTAATTTGATGATTCATGTTAAGTGATGACTTACATTTACTGTTTTTTCCTCTGTTGCAGATCTGCCTACGTATCTTTTGGAGGATTGTTGATGAGGTTACAGGGTGATGCAAACAACCTACACGGTTTCGAGATAGACCAACATATGTACTTACTCATGAAAAAGTTAGCGTTCTAACTATATACATTTGTTACAATTATAACTTAGAAAATATATTTTTTAAATATATTCTTTTTTCATGAGAAGATATTAAATATAAGATAAAGATAATTGAACTGATTGAAAAAATATTAATGATTTATGTATGCATAAAAATGTATTGTATATGTATTTGATTTAGAACAGTATATTGATGTGAGAAGGATGTTTTTTAATTGGTTGATCATTTCACACTTTCCAGTTCACAAATATTTTATTAAACATTGTCACTGCCATTCCAATTCTTAGATACATAAATAAAATATTTTTAAAATTAATTATACTATATAATAAAGGTATTTTTTCATGTAAAAAATAATCTTTTATTTGTGAAATTACTATTTATCCTATGTTTCATATATATAATAAAAATTATTGAGATTAAAAAACTATTAATTAAAATAATTGCTAATTATTTATTAAATTTTATAAAACAAAAACAAAAATAATTAGATTAATTTATAATCAGAAACACCTTTTATAATAATATAAAAATAAAAATTAGAAGTCAAATTAAATTATTGAATTTAAATTAATTTCATTAATAATAAAATATTTCTAATAAATTTATGAAATACAAAAATTATTCGATAATGAAAAAAAATTTAATTTCGTTTTGCTACTGTTCGTATAAAAAGACGCCATTTTGGAGAACAACGGAGCCAAGACTAAATATGTGATCCAATTAGAACGCGTGCAGCTTCAGTGAATATAAGAGGGAGAGACAAAAAAAATGTATAATGGTGACACGTCGTCGCAAAAGGGGGAACAGCCAAGAGCTAATTTATGTAATTAAACTCGCGGGATTCCTGACCTTGTACGGCTGAATACGAACTGGCAGAGGCTAGCTCAAACAATATGGCATAAGTGCACTTGGCGTGGGTCTCGATCTTCAATATGGCGGTTTGATGTTGCATAACACATTGTATTACAAGATGGCTGCCATTTAATAAGGGTTTGATCCTAAATAGATTGGCCCAATAACATATAATGCGCTTTTATCTGACCGTTCGAATTGCGAAATTGCGCAATATACGTACACTAAGCCAGCAGCGATAAAAATCAATAGGTGTAAACAAGTGTCGCCATCGTGATAAAATTTTGTAACATATTTCACAGTCGATAACTTAGTCAGCAATTCATTTGAAATTAAATTAAATTAAATTAAATTAATATTTATTTACAATGGAATTTTTGTTCCAACACAATATGAAAGATTTACATTCAATAATATAAATAGCACAATATATAATATATAATGAAAATAAATAAATAATATATCTTTTTTTTTATTATATTTTAAAATGAATTTATCTTCTTAAAAAGTGTTAAGTTTCGTAGTAATAATCACCCTTAAACACTGATCAAATGCAGTACAAACAGCTAATCCTTGTTTGTCTGGACTCCAGTCTAAAGAACTAACAGGTTGTGATGAAACTGTAATATTTTGTAAAAGTGTCAAATTGCCAACAACTCCTTGATCTATACCATCTTTATCTACTATTTTTCGTTTTTCCGGATAATTACTAAAACAATTCAGTAATGAAAAAAACCATAAAAATTAAAGATAAAAATAAATATGAAATTTATAATTACTATTTCCATAGACAAAGATTTCCTCCTCCACCACAAGTAACAAATATTTCACGATTTTGTGGTAAATGTCTGACTAACCATACTGTTGAATTATGAGCCTAAAACAATATATATATATATATATATATATATATATATATATATATTATTATTATATAATATATAATAAATATATATATAT